GGGATTTTTTTTGTGTGTGTGTGTCCTTTTTAATATCTCAGAACAAGCTGAGGACATTGAAGAGCTGAATTTAATATACTGCAGTCAGCATACTTCAAAAGTCTTGAAGATAATTTCATTAATTTTATATTTTCTTTTTAAATAGCTTAAAGGATGTATTGGGCCTAAGTTTTTTGAGCTAAGAATGTAACTTAAGTGATCAAACCTAAGGGTTCACGAAAAAGATTCTAATGAAATTTCTGAGAATTGATTTTTAAATGTCTGTGATTCATTTTCTGCTCTAAAAATTTCAATGCTTAAGGTTTGGGTTTTGAAAGGCAATGAATTTGGCTGCAGTAAAGAGTGGACTCTTTCTCCATTTGGTTTTGGTTTGGATTTTGGTTATTTTTGTTTGTGTTTTCAAGTTTGTTTTATTACAATGCCTTGGCCAGCACTGTTCTATTACTTTGTCCAACTGTTTTTCAGAGTACAGAGTTATGAAGGATTTTATTTCCTTCATCACTGTCTTTGAAAAGTTTTCCTTCATAGAACTTTTCAAAGAAAGAGATGAAGTGGTGAAGAAAGAGAAGGGATGGAAAATGAAGTACCAAACCAGTGACCTCTCAGAGAGAAACGCTATTGACAAGGACCGGGTCCCCCCACTCCCTGCCTCCACCCCATTAATAGTTTGCCAAGTCAGTTTTGCTCTCTTCATTCATTCCACAATTAATGGTCATTGGGCATTTGTCCTGAAGATGCCACAGGGGAACAGGAGCTACAAACAACCAGATCATGCAAGTCCACTGGGTAAACATCATAGCAGTCATCACACAGCTTTGTTAGAGCTTGGAGAAAAAAGGACTGGCTTAAAAGGGAACTCATAGACCAAGGAACAATTAAGGGGGACTTTTTGGAGTTTGGGTATGATGAGGGCCCTGAGGGGAGAAAGGGCATTTCAGACAGGAAAAACAGCTGATGAAAATACACATCCTGTATTCAGGGATTTGAGAGAACATCCAGTTAAGTTTAGAGAGGGTGAGGTCAGTCTCTAGAGAAGATTCTGGAAAGTTTGTCTAGGGCCAGAGTAGTAAGTGTTGGGTACATCAAGCCAAACAGTTTGGTTTTATTCCTCTAGGCAAAGCAGAGCTGTTTAAAGATTGGCTGGTGAGGAGGTGAGTAGAGACAGAACTGTGGTGGTATGTGAACAAAATGGATTAGATCTAGCTGGAGAATGCCAGTGGGGCTCTGAAGGAGGAGACAAGAGGACTGTTTGGAGTGTACAGACATAATTAAAAGCTGTATATAGGCTGGGCACAGTGGCTTACATGTGTAATCCCAGCACTTTGAGAGGTCAAGGTGGGTGGATGGCTTGAACACAAGAGTTTGAGACCAGCCCGGCCAACATGACGAAATCTCTATCAAAAAAAAAAAAAAAAAAAAAAAAAAAGAGAATCAGTGTTGCACGATACTCGCTACTCGGGAGGCTAAGGTGGGAGGATCGCTTGAGCCCAGGCGGTGGAGGTTGCAGTGAGCCAAGATAGTGCCATTGCACTCCAGCCTGGGCAGTAGAATGAGACCCTGTCTCAAAACAACAACAACAACAACAACAAAGCTGTAAATAAGGCGAGCTTAAAGCAAAGCAGCACAAGAGTAGCAAAAAGATAGTGGAGATATTGAGGAATGGAAATGGATGAGTTCTGCGGATGTCTGGATGCTCAGGTCAAAGACAATGAGGGAGGAGATGAAGAAAATCCAGGTTTCTTTTTTTTTTTTTTTGAGACGGAGTCTCGCTCTGTCGCCCAGGCTGGAGTGCAGTGGCGCGATCTCGGCTCACTGCAAGCTCCGCCTCCCGGGTTCACGCCATTCTCCTGCCTCAGCCTCCCGAGTAGCTGGGACTACAGGCGCCCACAACCGCGCCCGGCTAATTTTTTGTATTTTTAGTAGAGACGGGGTTTCACCGTGGTCTCGATCTCCTGACCTTGTGATCCGCCCGCCTCGGCCTCCCAAAGTGCTGGGATTACAGGCGTGAGCCACCGCGCCCGGCCTAGAAAATCCAGGTTTCTATCTTAGAAACCGAGGAGAGAATGATGAAATTTTAAGTCTGTGTGTGTTGTGGTTCTTGATAAGAAAGGGGATTAATAAGTCTACAGTTGATTGCTGAAAGATGAGCTTCCTGCTAATGGATTATTCAAAAAGAAAAAGTACATTAAATGTGCATTATTCATTCATTCAGCAAACACTTACAAGGCATTACCATGTGCTAGGTAGGCACTATAAGACCTGGGGATACAGCAGTGAACAAAACAATAGCCTCAGCCTCATCATGTTTATGATACCCTGGGGAATACTGGTGATAGTAATAGTTACTATGTATTGAGTGTTAAGTCTGTGCTAAATACTTTACTTTAGATTATCTGATTTGATCCTCGTCACTCTAAGAAGTAGGCATTATTAATATCCCCGTTTTACAGAAGAGGAAACAGGCAAAGTGCAAAGTAAGGTCAGTAACTTGCCCAGCTACAAAGCAGCAGAGTCATGTTGGGAAACAAGGGTCAAAGCCCACTTTCCTGACCTCCAAAGTCTACACAAGACAGAGGGTAAAAAGAGGCTGGTGTTCACAAGGAGATGAGCGTGGAGGCTGAGAAAAGCTTTGCCACCTTGTGAAAGTTGCAAACTCCTTTTAGTTACTAGCAGGGATTTCATTTCAAAGCAATTTGGGTACTCAAAAGCATCTCGTTTTCACCTTTTTAAAAAGCAGTTTTTCAGGCCGGGTGCAGTGGCTCATGCCTGTAATCTCAGCACTTTGGGAGGCAGAGGTGGGTGGATCACCTGAGCTCAGGAGTTCGAGACCACCCTGGCCAACATAGTGAAACCTCATCTCTACTAAAATACAAAAAATTAGCTGGGCATGGTGGCACGTGCCTATAGTCTCAGCTACTCTGGAGCTTGAGGCACGAGAATCGCTTAAGCCCTGGAGGTGGAGGTTGCAGTGAGCCACGATCACACCACTGCACTCCAGCTTGGGCTACAGAATGAGATTCCGTCTCAAAAAAAAGAAAAAAAAAGTAGTTTTTCTTGAGTCCTGCGGCAGTTATGCAGAGACACCCAGCCAGGGTGCAGCCAGGTCAAGGGGTGCTCTATGTGTCCAGACTCCATGCCCAGTTACGGGTCCTGAATCTTTCATCTGAAACATGGATGCAGCTTCTTCAGTCTATCGCACCCTTCCATGGCTCCACATTAATCCCCTAGTACTAATGGTGTTCATCACATCTTCTGCCAACTAATGCAGTTTGTGCTGGGAAAAAAATTATTTTATAACTCCAAGGATATTAATAATTAACTTCCAGTTCACAAAACTAGTAATATCAGTTTGTTGAAATAAAGTCACCAGTGAGTGTTTAATTCTTCTTTAAAGGGTGTCTTCTATTATTATTATTCTACAGTGCAATTTAGTCATCAAAGGTTTACTCAGCCTCATGTTTATAAATTATATAGGGCAAGGATTTAACTCTTCTGGCCCTACCTGTTCTGAAGACAGGGAGGGCCATAACCTTGTTGTCATACAGGGCACCTGCCTTGAAAGACTATTTGTGAACTTGAAGTTCCTTGCTTCTTTTAGAACTAACTCTGGGGTGAATATAGAGATTCCCCTTTATGACGCAATCAGAGGAATAACCAGAGTTGCCTGCCACCAAGAGAGACTGGCTTTTATCCTTCAGAAGGCCGGTTGGAAACAAGTTCATCTTTTTCAATGGAGTTTCAGAATCTTGTCTTGATTATATGACATAATAATAGTGGCTTTCCACTTCATCTGTGCAATATTGTTTTTTCATTGTGGTGGTTACGGATAGTTTTTTTGAGGGGGAAGGGCTACTGCCTTAGAGAAATGAAAGTAGAGCAGAAATAATCTAGTGTGCTCCCTACCTAAGTTGGAAATTCCAAGTCCTGACCCACATGTTTACATCCCAAGGGAGATGGCTGCCCATCAAGGGCTCATCCACTGATTATCCCGGGTAAGGGACTTTGGCTTTCCTGAAAAAGTGGTGAGTTTTCCATGCAGCCCTCAAATCACAGCGTCCCAAGATGTTGCCATCACAATTAAAGGAGTAGGGGAGGAGGTGGCAGTTGTCTTCCTTTTTTGGTTCTTCCGTTTGAAAAGCGCTTAAAGTAAAAATCAGAGTTAAAGTAACTGGCCTGATCCTATGGGGGTGGGGTTGAACCCCTCGAGGCCATGGGAAGGGGGACCTCAGTTTCCCTGCCAAAACACTCCCCTCCCTCAGCTGCAGCCCTGGCAGCCCTTGGCCAGAGCCAAACTAGAGGATGGAAGTCACACTCAAGGGTGTCCGACTCTGGATCTTAAGAGGGATTCCTGGCGTTGGCAGGGAGGGCCTAGTCAATTCATTCTGGGCGAGATGCATTCCAAGAATGCTTCTGTGGTTGGCGAGGAGTGGAAAAATCAGGTATCACAAATATTCTGAGGAAACCTAATAGGTACCAGAATCGCAGGGTTCAAACAGGTGACAACGACAAAGGACGTTGGCAATTAGAACTCAAAAAGGGGTGAGCGCACTCTCTGCCCGGTGCCCGAGCTTCCATCACTTTCCCCAGTCTCCCCTCCCTTTTCTTTCCTAGGTTGACACCAGGCTAAGCGCCAGCATTCACCGGTGAGGGGGCTCCGTGGAGAGGGGGGCGGAGCCCCGCGCCGCGCGCCCGAATCCAAAGTAAACACCTCGCCAAGCCTACGTTTAGAAAGTGATACCGAACACCACATTCACGTTTAAAAAAAAAATACTGTTTGCTGAGAAGATGAGAGCAAAACATTTCCCAGCTGGAAAATTACTGATCACAAACCAAGAGGAATGGGGGTGGGGGGGGGGGCAGCGTTATAAGACTGAAGATCGCCGTTTCCTATTCCCTTCCCGGTGGGCGAGGACGCCTGCGGCGGGCTCAGTGTGCACTTTTCGGGAGCTAGGATCCTGGCACATAGTCACTTCCCAGCGAAGTCGGGGGGCCTGACCTACCCGGAGCCTGAGCCGAAGGAACGAGTTGTCCTTTGACCTTTACTGGCCATTTCACCTCTTTATGACTCAGTTTCTCATCCATAAAGAGGAAAGGAGAGTGCGTGGCTTGAAAAGTGTTTCGAGGCCGGGCGCAGTGGCTCACGCCTGTAATCCCAGCACTGTGGAAGGCCGAGGCGGGCGGATCACTTGAGGTCAGGTGTTCGAGACCTGCCTGGCCCAGAAACTCCGTCTCTACGAAAAACAACAAAAATTAGCCGGGGTCGTAGAGCACGCCTGTAATCCCCGCTACTCGGGAGGCTGAGGCAGGAGAATCGCTTGAACCCAGGAGGAGGATGTTGCAGTGAGCTGAGATCGTGCCACTGCATTCCAGCCTGGGTGACAGAGCGAGTGTGTCCAAAAAGAAAAAGAAAGGAAAGAGAAAGAAGAAAGAAAGAGAGAGAAAGAAGGGGAGAGGGAGAGAGGGAGAGGGAGAGAGGGGGAGAGAGTGAGAGTGAGAGAGAGAGAGAGAGAGAGAGAGAGAGAGAAAGAGTGCTTCGAGACGGCTGGTTGAAAAGTGTCTCCGCGCCTCACAGTCCCTCTTCTCTCCCTCACCCCTTTGAGTAAATCTTGAGCCCTTTCATTCCCTTTCTCGCTTTTTAAAGTATCAAAACCATAACTCCCCACTCTTGCCTCTTTCTGCCTGTTCCCGGCGGAACACTCCTCTGGCCTTCTCCTGAGGCTCCCAGTTCACGCTGCACAGTGCTGGGCACCCGCTTCCTCTCCACACCCCTAGCGCCCCCCACCCCTCGGCAGAAGGGACCGCGAGGAACCGTGCGAGGTCAGGCCGAGCGCCGGCACCGGCACTGGCGCTGCGCGGCGAGAGCGGACTCCAGCGAGCGCAGGGAGGGAGGGGGAGATCGAGGGCTGGATGAGTCACGCGGATAATCGCGCTCTTCTCCAGCGCGCAGACAGCGCGGCAAGCGCGTATGCGAGCAGGGGTGGGGACGCGTGACCGTCCCGCCCGCTGACCCCACCAGTCTTCGCGGGCTTCGAACCCACGGAGCCGACAATGGCGGTGAGTACTGCCCTGGTCGCGCAGAGACCGAACCTGCGCCCGGTTCCTCGCGCCCAGCTCTGGGGCGGACGCCGCCGCCGCCGACACCACTGCCGCCGGCGTCAGCTCGGCTCCAGCCCGCCAGCTGCCCGGCTGGCGTCACGGCCCGGCCCGGCCCGGCCCCGCCCGCGCCCCTCCTTCCCCTCCCCCGCCCCCACGTGCGCCGAGTTTGTTGATTTAGCTGCCATAGCAACGATGGAGGGGAGCCTCGGGGGGGGCGGAGAGAAGAAAGGGAGGGGCGGGGCATGGGAGAAGGCGGAGGAAAAGGCTGTTAGCGAAGGAAGTTATAAGTAAGGAGCGCGCGCCGGCGGCCGGCAGTTCCCCGACCAGAGAGAGCGAACGTGTCTGCGGGCGCGCGGGGAGCAGAGGCGGTGGCGGGCGGCGGCGGCGGCACCGGGAGCCGCCGAGTGACCCTCCCCGCCCCTCTGGCCCCCCACCCTCGCACCCGCCCGTGGCCCGCGCCCATGGCCGCGCGCGTTCCACACAACTCCCCGGACTCCGCGCCCTGCGCCGCCAACCAGTTCGCAGCTCCGCGCCACCGCAGCCAGTCTCACCTGGCGGCACCATCCGCCCACCGCCCCGGCCACAGCCCCTGCGCCCACGGCAGCACTCAAGGCGACCGCGACAGCGGTGGGGGACGCTGCTGAGTGGAAGAGAGCGCAGCCCGGCCACCGGACCTACTTACTCGCCTTGCTGATTGTCTGTTTTTGAGTTTACAACTTTTCCAAGAACTTTTGTATACAAAGGAACTTTTTAAAAAGGACGCTTCCAATTTATATTTAATCCAAAGAAGAAGGATCTCGGCCAATTTGGGGTTTTCGGTTTTGGCTTCGTTTCTTCTCTACGTTGACTTTGGGGTTCGGGTGCCCCAGCTGCTTCGGGCTCCCGAGGACCTTTCTGGGCCCCCGAATTAATGAGGTAGGTGAGGCGCGCGGCGCTGGGAGCAGGGAGGGGTGAGGACCGGTGGGACGCGCCGGAACGACGGCCGAAAGCCGCCCCTGACTCTGTCTCTGCGCCCTGCCCGGCTCGCAGGCAGCCACCTGGCGAGTCTGACATGGCTGTCAGCGACGCGCTGCTCCCATCTTTCTCCACGTTCGCGTCTGGCCCGGCGGGAAGGGAGAAGACACTGCGTCAAGCAGGTGCCCCGAATAACGTGAGTATCGTATCACCCCGGGCCGCCGGGAACGCCCGGTGGGTTTCCGTGGGTGTGGTGGGGGCGGGCGGAGCTCTGGGGTCACTAAGCCACTGAACGAGGGTAAGGAGCGGCCACCGCGCGGACTCCGCAGCCTTCCCGGGTTAGCTTCCGTGCCCTTGGCTCAGCTGTACATGCCAGTGGTGCGAGCACTGCGGAGCCGCCTGGGGCGCAAGCCGGGTCTTCACCAGTCCCCGGGCGCCCTGTCGGTAGGGCGGGCGCGCGCAGGCCACCAGGCGGGAGGTGGCCGCATCCCCAGACACTGGCTGGGCCAGAGTGAGTTTAGCGCGTAGGCGGCCCCGTGGCTAGAGCGCACCGAGAGAGCCTCGGTGTGCCAATTCCGGGGACGTCCACGGGACTTGGCGGGGGAGGGACCAGCCGTGGCGCTCGCTCACACGCAATTGGGTAGACAGTACATAACGCCCGCGATACAGACGCATCACCTCTTCTCCGACCCGGGTGTGGGCCGAGATTGCAGCCCTGGCGCCCTGGGTTCCCGGGTGATTGCTGCCTGACTAGTCCCCATGTCTGGGCGGTGCAGTTGCGTGTGGCCCGCCAGCACGTCGGTATGTCGGGTGGCAACAGGGGACCACCACTGACGGGCCTCTCCCGCCCTGTCCCCTCAGCGCTGGCGGGAGGAGCTCTCCCACATGAAGCGACTTCCCCCGGTGCTTCCCGGCCGCCCGTATGACCTGGCGGCGGCGACCGTGGCCACAGACTTGGAGAGCGGCGTAGCCGGTGCGGCTTGCGGCGGTAGCAACCTGGCGCCCCTACCTCGGAGAGAGACCGAGGAGTTCAACGATCTCCTGGACCTGGACTTTATCCTCTCCAATTCGCTGACCCATCCTCCGGAGTCAGTGGCCGCCACCGTGTCCTCGTCAGCGTCAGCCTCTTCCTCGTCGTCCCCGTCGAGCAGCGGCCCTGCCAGCGCGCCCTCCACCTGCAGCTTCACCTATCCGATCCGGGCCGGGAGCGACCCGGGCGTGGCGCCGGGCGGCACGGGCGGAGGCCTCCTCTATGGGAGGGAGTCCGCTCCCCCTCCGACGGCTCCCTTCAACCTGGCGGACATCAACGACGTGAGCCCCTCGGGCGGCTTCGTGGCCGAGCTCCTCCGGCCAGAATTGGACCCGGTGTACATTCCGCCGCAGCAGCCGCCGCCGCCAGGTGGCGGGCTGATGGGCAAGTTCGTGCTGAAGGCGTCGCTGAGCGCCCCTGGCAGCGAGTACGGCAGCCCGTCGGTCATCAGCGTCAGCAAAGGCAGCCCTGACGGTAGCCACCCGGTGGTGGTGGCGCCCTACAACGGTGGGCCGCCGCGAACGTGCCCCAAGATTAAGCAGGAGGCGGTCTCCTCGTGCACCCACTTGGGCGCTGGACCCCCTCTCAGCAATGGCCACCGGCCGGCTGCACACGACTTCCCCCTGGGGCGGCAGCTCCCCAGCAGGACTACCCCGACCCTGGGTCTTGAGGAAGTGCTAAGCAGCAGGGACTGTCACCCTGCCCTGCCGCTTCCCCCCGGCTTCCATCCCCACCCGGGGCCCAATTACCCATCCTTCCTGCCCGACCAGATGCAGCCTCAAGTCCCGCCGCTCCATTACCAAGGTCAGTCCCGGGGATTTATAGCTCGGGCTGGGGAGCTCTGTGTGTGCTGGCCCCTTGGGGCACAGGGGATGATGCTCACCCCACCTTCTCCACCCCTAGAGCTCATGCCACCCGGTTCCTGCATGCCGGAGGAGCCCAAGCCAAAGAGGGGAAGACGATCGTGGCCCCGGAAAAGGACGGCCACCCACACTTGTGATTACGCGGGCTGCGGCAAAACCTACACAAAGAGTTCCCATCTCAAGGCACACCTGCGAACCCACACAGGTAGGGGGACAAACTGCGGAAGGAAGGGGTTAGCTTCCAGCCCTATGGGGCTACCAGTGGACACTCCTCAGTGCTTCCTTGGCTTCCCAGGGCAGTCTATCACCTTGATCTCTGGGATCACTGGGGAGGACAGCGAACCGGCGCCTACTTTTCTTCCTAGGAGCCTTTTGCTTGATGGATGGTATCTGTGCTTGAATGTGCAATTTTGTTTGGCCTTTAAAAGGCAGAGATTCCCCGCGGTCTGTGGGCCTCTCCTAGCTTGGGCATTGTAATCAAGAAATTATACTTTGCTATGCAAAAGCATGATGGCTTTTTTTTAAACTAGGTTTTTAATGTTACCTTCCCAGGTTCACCCTCCCTTTCTATTATTTTGAATTTTGGTCTTAACAATTCGGTCTTATTTATTTTTTGTTATTTGTTTTGATTTGCATTTTTATTTTTTTTCCCCCACAAGCAGAAGGTTTTATTTTAAATTCCAAGAATATGATGGTCAAAATTGCTGAGGAGATTCTGATTTAGGATTGTCACTGCAGAGCATTTCCATGTCAATGTAAGTAGGTACTCAAAGTCACTTAGGCGCTTAGCATTCAGTAAGGTAAAAGTAAAGAAAACAAAATTGCCACCTGTGGCTTTTTATCCCCAATCGTAGTAGGAATAAGATTGCCTGGTTTGCACACACCACCAATCACAATTTGCAAATTTCATTTTCACCACTGACATGTCTTGACTCAAAAGAAACATTAGTATAGGTTTAGGTGGCGTGTTTGTGTGTTTTTGGTGAAACATTAGTATAGGTGTAGGTGGTGGTTGTGTGCTTAACTGACCCCCTAAAAACAAGACCAAATACTTAAGACACGGTAAGACACGGAATGTATTCCTGTTTATGACATGGAATTCAATACAGCCCGTCAGTGGTATAAAGACTTTTCCTGGATTCCTTTAGGATAGGGTCAGAGTTGGTTTAGTATCTGGCCTTCAGTTTTTAAAAGGGCCCATTCTTTGATATAGCAGTGGCGTTAATTTTTTTTTTCTTTTGCCTTTACAGGTGA